TTTGGAAAACTGTGAACGTTTGTCCAGCTGCCATTCGTAGTAGCTGCATCTGACCATGACAAGATAGTCATTTTTCATATACTTACTTACATATACTTATTTTATATATACTAACAAACGGGTCGTGGGAAATTTTGTTTGTGTTCCTATACGCCCTTGTTCAGTCGAACTGAGAGATGCGCTGCAAGCGCTTAGCTGAAGCAGTGATCAGAAGTGAGGGGGCGGGTATTGTGTAAATCCTTTATAAGGCTACGAAACTCGACTTCTTTTCTCTTCAAATGTTATACTATTTGATAAATTTGTTTAGAAAACAGAGAGGGCAAGAGTTTAGAAACTAGAGGTCGGTTTCGAATATAGAAGAGCCAGATTCTGACCCAAAAAAGTATTCTTGAAGGGTGATTCCGTTAAGGAAACCATCCACTCTACGCTATTTCGGTGTAGCCAACCAAGCAACAGGAAGAAGTTGATTGTTGACTAGTGAAATGCATAAACTTTACGATGTTCCGGTGCGGTCATATCAGAATGATCAATGCGCTCCAACTGAGAGACAGTTAATTTTTATTATTTTTATGCGATTGCTGACCTACAGCTCTTTTCGGTTCAGTCGAGAAGTAACTATCCGTCATTATGATAAGCGCAAGATGTAAACCTAGAAAACCTACTGACAAGTTTCGTTCATATACAGTATGTACCATTTCACTAACCTGTTGTGGGAGAAGTCGAGCGACTTAATACCGAGAGAAAAGTCATTCAAACAATCGGTTAGTAAATGCTAATTAAAAATTACTGATTATTAATGATTTAATCGAAAATATTGATATAGCAATTTATTTCATTGGTCTGCTCTGTCATCTTGATCCAACGGCGGACAACAACAACATAAACTGTCATTCAGTTGTCATATATATAATACAGCCATTTAAATCATAAACGTAAACAGCGTGATTGTATTGAATAGGTGTTGTAAAGACGGTACCACGGTCTATGCTACATCATATATCTTAGATCACGAACTTGTCTTGTGTAAATAAGCCTGATTTACTAGGGTACAATTAGGTAAATTTTCCAAACTAGAGGTAGGCAGTCGTCTGAAATAGTGTAATAAACGTGCAAAAATTTTCTCAATATCACCTTACCCCACCGCTGTCAACAGCTATAACTATAAGTCAGATAGATAGTACTTACTACTGAGTTTAGAGAATGTGAATTATTGTTGCAATAATCTGAAGCCATGAGCCGTAGTAATTTACATTTTATCTAACTCCTTTCATCTTGCGCTGCAGTGCTGTCTCAAACCTTTAGAATACACCAATTCAGTAACGTGGCTATGAACTGTAGGGGTCCATTATAATGAACACTGATGAAGGCTAATTCTTAAAAATAGCTTATTAGACAATTGTAAACTTCTCATAATTCAACTCGAGCATCGGAATAATATAGAGTTGGCAACGTCCAAAGCAGGATTGAATAATGGGAGATGTATCGCCAAGCGCAGGTGGTACATTTATACATTACCACGATTGCTGAGCCGGTATGGCAGTAATGGATTCTACAAGATCTCGGTTATCCGAGGTTCAGGAATTCCTAATACTTTTAAGCTGTTTCTATCCAAAGAATCCACTTCGATCACAAGGCTGGATTTAACGAGAGGGCGGTGTTCACGCCAGTTGTTGACGATGATATGATAAAATGTCTTACCAACTATCGTTTGAACATAAGATAGCAAATTGAATAGAACATCCAAGCGATGATTGATGGTTGGATTCAAGAAATGTGAAGTTATAGCATCCAGGCAGTCCCTTGAATTGCAATGACCAAGGACACACAATTTTAATAACATGACTCATACTTTCTGTTGCCTTTCCTCTAAACGGTGGATCACATTGGTCACTGACGTTTGTTTAATCATTTGAAAGGAATTTATTGACATTGGTGATCACTCCATTTCAGGACTTTAAAGCTTAAATCAATTTATTATTCGAAATGTACTTCTTTGGTTGTCAGCCCACTCTTCTGACACCAAGTTTGCCCGTGTCATAGGGTCATAACATCCGTAAACCTTTGGGGATAGTCGATTTGCCTTAGTTTATATGTTGGATGTACTGCATCTCTCAGGCCAAGGGAGTGGGGTGTTTCTTGCAGAAGGCAAATATTAGTTCATAAAAGTATTTAAGTCACGTAAAATTATGTAATGCCTCATTTTCAAAATCTCAGGCATGAGAAAAGTGGGAATAAATATCATGAAAATTAGTTACAATCGTATAACATTAAATAGTGCAAGATAAAAGAATGATAATGCGTAATCAGCAACAAGTGTACAATTTCATGGACATAATAGAAACGCTGATTTTTGCATTTTAGGTAGCTTGCTTCATGTTTCCGTTCAAGCAAGAAAGAAAGTAACCGTAAACCTTGTCAGTGAACAATTTCGATCTGTCTTGAGGTATTGGGTGAGAGCATGACAATTTTCATTGATAAAGTTCAGTTGCTTCTTCTGGCCTATGCTTCTTTATGCTGACCATATCACATCGCATGTTGTTGGCTGAAGCACTAGTAGAGAACACACATGCGGTACTCACGGTACTCACTACTTACGGTACTCACTCGTTAACTAATCACTGCCCTCAGTGATCAAATTAAAATTGATTGGCTGCAAGAACTGATCGGATCATATCAACGATCACCGGTGCAACGCAATCGCCTTCGTCTGAAACTTCTGAAAGGCTGTTTCAAAGCAGCCAGGAACTACAATCAGTACAAACGCTGTTGTTGCTCGTTCTCCCTATGACTTTAGTAGAAACGGCGAATCAGATGTGTTTTAAAGGAGTGAAGTTGAGAGTGAATAAAACACCTATTCTTCATGATTGTCTTTTTTGCTTTGTTGCTTTTTGTTATGGTTATGATGGTATAAAATATGGCTATGCTAAAAAAAATTTATCGTCCAAGTGAATTCTGCATTTTATTCTTAGTTTAGCTTGGATTGAGACACCTTTTCTAAAATTCTTTGCAGTAGAACCAATTGAAAATCTTCAGAGAGATACCAAAGGACTGAATGGTATGAATTCTGGTCAATAAAATACAGATGTAATTAAAAAGTACTTTGAATGAGCCTAAAGCTATTAGTAAGCGTGGGAGCATAAACTTTTGGCAATGTGACAAACGTTTATGTATATCGAGACCAGTTTGACGCAGAGAGACGTCACCTCTTCGAAGAAGTCAAAGACGATGATTCGGTCGATGAATCATGCCGCGTCGCTCGCTCTTTAGACTCCGCCTGGGAAGTTCCCGACCTCCTCGTCGTCGATCGTTTAAGCCGCGGCACGACGATGTGAAACAAAGAGGAGGCTCAGTCGGCGAGGCGCTAATCGTTTTTTAATTTCGCCGCTGAATCTCGAGTGCGTGAAATTAGAGTCGTCGTCTGACCGGGCTCTGACGGCCGACAACCGCGCTGCTCAAGTGGTGACAAGCCGAGGTGGTCATCTGCAAGGAATTCAGGAAACGGAGATGTGCAGGCAAACGAGCATTGAAGTATTTTCAATGTTTGGTCCAGCCACATTCAGCATTACGGAGAAGGTGGCGGTTTCTAAACAGCTTATGTAGAAGAACCTTCAGAAAAGAGAGAAGAAAAACAGTGGTCTCTTCATTTATCCCCTTTCCATGGTAAAAGTAGCTGGGTCGTGGGTTGGATGTTACGAAGAGAAGGCTGGGGCAGCTTCCAATGGCTATTTGGAGAATGTCCCCATGTCTGATGTTCTAATGTTCCGTTGTTGCCGGCGATCAGTTCAATCGGACTAATTAATCAACGGCCATCAGCAGGTGAAAAACCGCGATGTTTGCTGACCGATCGACCTGGGTTTCATCGTGATAGGTCCTTCGTATTACAGTTTGCACACACGCAGTAACCGTGTGTCTCGCAGCAAATTTAAAATGCTCCATTAATTTTTCAATGTCAACATGATTGGGTCACATGGCTATCTTCGTCTTCCAGTGCTGAGCCATAGAAAGAGAGAAAGGAGGAGTTGACGATAAAGACGAATCATCCTGTTACGCAACTGCTTTGTTATCATCGTCTTCAGCTTCGCCATTATGAGGTGGTTTTTGTTCGGCATAATCACAAACTCGACCAACTTCGCCGACCATATCAGACAAAAAAATTAATTGAGTCGCTTCGTAGATTTTTGTTGGCTCCGCCGCGTTTATTTTTCTACCGTACTCTCGCTTTTACGGCCTGCGCGTACTGTAAACAGAAAGACAAATGGCGGTGGCTACTGTACCAAGCCTGATCAGACAACAGCAGGCCATCCTACTCCGAATCCAGAGGTTGTGCGTTTCAGCCTGACTGAGGACCCTTGCCTTTCGTTTTCAAGGTAAACAAATGAGTACAATCTCATGGAAAGGAAATATGAAACTATACTGATGTTCAACCAGCTATAGATATGACTAGTGAAAAACGATCAATGAGCCACCGCTTCATAGCGGCAGCAAAGAAGCGAAAATGGTCAGTAGTGATTCATAGTGAAATTTGAAAACCACAGAGCGACAGCTTTCAATGCCTAGTATATTTCTGCACTGCTACTGTTTCGTTCTCAGAGCGATCATTCAGACTGACATTTCGCCCCCCCCCCTCACATTTTGGCGAATCTCAGAAGTCGCCTTTTGCAGAATTTTTACGCACATAAGACACGTCTTTCTGTTATGCAATTAACATAAGATTCCGTACTTCACGGCAGGCCTAAACCAGTTTAAATGGTGCTGGTTCTTTATGAGACGTTTACTGGAAATTGTTGATGTTTACAATAATATTCACTAGTGCCGAATTACCCGCCTCACAAATGGCACCCAGTTGTGAAAGCGCAACGGATACTGACATTACAACAATTGCGCACTTTAGTTTTTCCTTCCTACGTGAAGGCGGGGCAAGACGAATAGATGACGCTCGTTACGAATTATGTCATTTTCACGGATGCGCGTTGCTTGCCCTGACAGCTCGTCGAGATATAATGATCGGCTGCTTTTCGACCTCCGTTTTTTCAGGGCAGTTCCTGTTCTTTTCCGGGAGCATCGATGCACGCCGAAAAGTCGTCCAGACACCCACCGGCTATCACCGCCGGCCCGCGGGGTTAATTGGACGGATCGTTTGGGTTGGGGCCGCCCTACTGTCCACTCAACTCAAAGTCCCCTGCCCCCCCTCCCCCAATCCCGCAAGTTCGCGACCTCCCTTCCATCGCGCTGCCGTCTCCGCCTCCTCAGCACACCGGTTTCCGCCGTCATGCCACAACCTGCACGAATTCGTCTGGTGTTCGTTCAGCGTGATTATCGTTCTCGACGGTCGGTCGGTCAACGGCTGCCAGCGACGAGAACCACGTCAGGCGCGGTAGCGATTCATTTGCACAATGAAATTATATATTTGACAGAAAATATGCCGCGTGTCACGAAGCAGTCGTTCGCCTCATGCTGTCGAAAAAATTAATGCGACGTCAGCCAAGCATTCGACGGCGCTTGTTCCATAATTTCGCCGAATCTTCATCTCACTGCGCGCACTCCTCTGTTCTTTGAACAACGATTTCTCTATCTCTAAACTCACCGCTTCAAAGAGGACCTGACCAAGGATGGTTTCTGACGTCTACCGTAATCGATAATTATCATCGATTGACCTCATAGACAATATAGTATAGTTATATATGTGTGTGTTTATGTGCGTGTGAAATGTCCGTGTGATTACTCACTGACAATTAGTCATAATACTATAAATATCATAATCAGTTTGCCTAAAATATTTTAATTGCGACTGCTTCGTTGCCCAAGGCCACAAAAGGAAGGAGGAGGTTGGGAACCGTGGAGAAGCCTCCCTCGAAACACAGCAAACTGCCTCTCATGGTATTCACGCAATCGACAGTTGTACCTGTTCGATCGTCGCTAGGGTCACCAAGCGCTGGCCATGTTTTTGGGTAACTCAAGCAGACCTCAGAGAGTCAACGGTCAGTACCTGTTTCATGCCGCTGGGTAGTTGCAGGGGTTGAAGGATTGCGATGGCTACCGATGACCTATGCGAAGAAGACGAAGGTACCAGTCAGCAGCGGAGTCATTACCCGTTTAGAACAGAGGAGACAGACACCGCGATACCGTTATGGCACATGAGTTGAAGTTCTGTGGAATGATACCGATAGAGGATGCTCACCGTAGGAAATCGAAGCATCTCCTCACTAAATGAGAACGATCAGAAATTGGTTAATGAGGCCACATGGAACCACCTGAACATGGACTGTCGTCAAGTGAACTCCGGGGTTCTGGAATTCTGAACCTTTGCCGGAGGGGAGGCTTTTCTACTCAAGTGTCTACTCTATGACCTGGCGGACAGCACTGTTAAATAGAAGTGTCAGCCTTTAAGGCAAGTTGCAATAAATAAAATTTTTGGACTTTTTTAAAGGTCCATGCGCCCAATACGAATGGAGAATATGAGCCATTCCTCGAAGAAGTAGAATCCAAATTCGTCATTATTTTAGGCGATCTCAATGCGCAATTTGGAACAGACAAGATCGAGAAACCTCATGAAGTTGTCGACCAAATCACTCCAAAAGAATAGCAGAGAGAGAAGACGGATGAATGGTGGAAAAATAAATCTATGAATGGACAAATAAATCCAAATAAATCAATCGGCCTATCAACGGGGAAACGCGTGGTCGACTTTCAGCGAATGACATGCCTGACTGATAGAACTCATATATCATTTCTGAATCATGAAAATCAAGGATTATATCGCACTACATAATTATCCAGAATCTGCTTAGCTTCTCACTCATGGAGAAAGAGCAGGTGCTGGTTGATTAGGCCGCAAGGCGCCAACAAGTCATAGTCGAACTCTCGTCAACGAAGCGCAAATGATCGGAAATTTTGAACCTCTGCGGGTAAGAGCTATTCTACCCAGGTGTCGACATCACTCACATGAACACATGTCAGTGATGACCACTAATGCGGAAACCGTGTATTAACTCTTTAAAAGCGGTTTACTAAAGGGCTGCCGCCGAACGCTGTCGTTTTAAACGGGTTGGCCTTCGGCATATAGGTCATAAGCGAACTTTCTGGTTGGGAAAAGAGGTTCAACCGACTGTCACCAAAAAGAAGGCTACATTCAATAGATGCTTTCAACGCTTAGCCCTTAACCCGAATACTGTGCAAAAAAGAGCGCAACGAAATCAGTGACCAAAGCGAGAAGTCATCGCTAAGTAAAGTTTTTTGCAGTGACTGAGTTGATTTTCCAAATGGCAGAAAGACATATTCTAGCAAACATCCGCTGCCTCTGAGGCGAAAAGAAAGGTATTTCAAGAATCCTAGCAATTACAAGGGAAGATGACATTTTTCAGCGACGGAGAGAGTATTTTGAGGAACTCCTGAATATTAAATAACCGCAGAAAGACTCGCCTGTAGAGCAGGAGTGTACGGATATTACTATCTCTGTAGACGAAATTGCACAAGCTGTGAAAAGCATGAAAAATGGGAAAGCTGCTGGAATTGACAAAATCCGCCCTTAAATGTTGCAGGCATTAGGCGAACAAGGCATGTGCTGGCTTACAAGTGACTGTCAAACTGCGATGACTGCGGGAAAAACACCAGCGGACTGGAGAATAGGGGTTGTTATGTTCTTGTTCAAGAAGGGAGACCACAGGAAATGCTCCAATTATTGGTCATTACCTCATTGAGCTACCCGGGGAAAGTCTGCGCAAAGAAGTTAGAACAGAAGTGCCGCGTAGTAATTTACCTTAAAGTAAAAACAAGGAATCTGGCATCAGTTACGCCCAAAGCAAATCTGATAAAATTCGCCCTACGCCAGACTGTTGAAAATTCACCGGAGTTCGATCCTCCGGTTTATATGAGTTTTGTGGATCTGGAGAAAGCCTACGGTCAGATCAACGCAACAATCTATAGACGTGCAATCGATGTTCAGTTGCCACGGGCCATTCAATCACTATATATGATAGCAGGTGATGCGTCAGAGTAAATGGCATTAGCTTTCAGCGTTGGCTTCTGTTTTTGCAAAGGCTGCGTCCTGCCGTCTTCCCGTTTTCATAGTACATAGAAAAATGGTCAGGCGAAGCCAAGGCGACGGGTATATCGGTGTGAGAGATATGAAGACGAGAAGGTTACTGTTTGCAGACGACCTTGTTTTATTAGCATCTTCTGAAACCGATCTTCAGTGCTCCTTAGAAAGGTTCGCAGCCGAGTGCGTCGTGACCGGCTTGCGTTGAACGCATCCAAAAATTGCTTAGTGCATTCTTTTTCTCCTGCACGTTGTTCTCTTCAGAGTAAGGGAGAGGCAGTGGAGCAGGTGGAAACGTTCAACGACCTCAGAGTCGCACTTACGAGTGATAGAAAGATTGAGGAAGAGATTGACCGGCGGATTGTAGTAGCCAGTGTGGTTCTGCGTGAATTAGACTAAAGAAAACAATGCTGAGTCTAAAGATTACGTTCTCAGTGTTCAAGTCGATCATCGACCTGATACTCACCTACTGTCATGAGTCGTGAGTAGCTGAAAAGCTCCGATCTTAGGTGCAAGTGTTAAAAATTGGCTTTTTGAAACAAATCGCCGGGATCATATTGCGGACTACGGATATCTGAGTGAGCATTGGTGTACAGCCACTGCTTCTCGAAATTCATAGGTCACAGCTGTGATCGTTTGCGCACGTTTCGCGGATGCCTCCAGAAATAAAGGCGAGGCAAATATTTCTTACCCAGCCGACTAGCAGAAAATGCCGGGGATAACCAAAATTAACCTGAGGCAAGTGTATCGAAGGACTCTGGTCCAGACTCTGGTTATCGTCTGCCAAAGCTCAAATGCTAGGGGAGAATTGGAAACGCTAGAAGCACTGTTTGCCTCCAGTGCCCGAACGGACAAGCGGCGATGGAAGCTGAATTGAATTGAATAAAATGATTATGAAATCAAGGTCACGTCATTTTCCTGATTTTTCCATAAGGGTCCAAGCATGATTATTGCTTTCAAATGCACATATGTGTTTATTTCGATGGACTGTAGCATTTTTAGCAGCTAGAGTCTGAATATACCAAATGGATAATATGGCAATGTCAGTTATTAAAGAATGACGTGCAACGTAGTTTTCTCCAGATTCTAGATGCACGTGCACAGGACAAGGATATCGATCCTGTTCAATAATTGATATGCGATGAGTTAATTTGGGGAAAAACATTTTTGAGCTAAAAAATACAGTATGCTGCAGCAGGCAGTGAGGCCTTGCTCAAAGTCATGTTCTCATGGATCTGCGATGAAAACGACGGGTGGAAAATGTGCTGGTGTGAAACGCGTTGTTGGAGATCTTAGATTGTTTCTAACGCTCGCTCGAAGAGCACCTATAGACGAACCGAACCGATCCGTGGCTGAAGAAGACTGTCGCATAAACTTTTCAAATGACATTTGTGATGGATTTATGCCATGCCACCTGTTTGGTTTAATAAAGAAAAATGCTTTTGCCAGATCGAGCAGCTTTACGCCTCAGCCACAAATGGTGATCAATCTTGAAGCGACTGAGGGAGAACCTCCCCGCAACAGACAGGTTCAGCGGGCTAATGTTTATCGAAGGTCAGACAGTAAAACTGTGATACATCTGTAGGTATTGAAAAACTGTTTTTGGCGGCATTACATTTATTAATGAGAAAAACACTCGCAGTGAAGAACAAGGGAACCTTTTAACTTCTCTAACCACGAAAATGATTAAAGCACACGAGCCCATAGATTTTATCGAGAAACCGCTTTTTCCATTTTGCAGGATAAAAGTTTATTTCACAATGTGTAAAATTATAATTATTTGTGCATTTTATATTAATTTTACTCTTAGCTACATATGACACCACATACAAAACGAAATTATCATAATTGAATTAAGACCAACTATATCTGTCATGAAATATGATTGCATGAAACTGGTCACAACGTTGAAGACAAACTGACTTTTGATTATTCATCATTGTCTTGTAAAGAAAAAAGCTAAGCGCCTTTCAATTACATTGTTCTTAAAGGGCTAATTAACTCTGTGCTTTCCTCTTCAACACTCGGCATTTTGTCGTCCCTCCCTCTCCTCCAACTTACCTCAAGTTGACCGCTCATGGAAGCTGAACAACAATATGGCGCTAGTCAACAAAATGAACTGTCATACGTTATTTATCACTAAAATCTATTCATTTGGCAGGAATTCACGGAGTACATGCGTTTTCAAAAAACAGTCTCTGCTCTTCGAATGGAACCATCTCAATAACATGAGCTTGCAGTACGAATATTTGGTCAACCATTGGCTGTCAACTTCTATAGAGTATTAGCTATTGAAATTTACGAATCCTTGAAGTACTATGCAGAGAAAGTGACATTTTTATC